CACTTGGCATGCAGTAGGTCCCGGAGCAAAGGCCCTGCTGCTGATGTGGGCGTGCCGCACCTAGGACCATTGTTCACACGTCAGTCATAATGTTGCGGTGTTACCCGCCATTCTGCTGAAGGGGCTTGCAGTCTGAGAGCTCAAGCTCTTAGAGTCTGAGGATTTAATTCCTGGAGTTTCTCCTTGTCATTAGCTGTCTTGGCAGACAATTCTTGGGGGTAGAGTGGGATTCCACCTGTTTCAACCAAATTCCTTCTCAGTACACGTGGCGATATTATCAATGTACATAGCATTTAGTTGAACCATGCAGTTGCCATAGCAACTACAACTTAAGTACAACAGCACAGGTAACTCACTTTGGCAGCCTGCCCACGGTGCTGCCATCTTCAAAGGTCTGGGGACTTTGGACAGTAGCTGTAAAGCAGGCACAGGAGCGGCTCAAACAGTTGGGCTGGGTAAGGGAGAAGCCTGATTATGAACGAGATTGTTATTTCGTTAACTGGAGGCCCTTGGAGATAAGTCATTTCCTAGTTTGGGGAGGAAGTATTTTCATTTTGTGGAGAAAGTTGGAGGCTTGCAGGTTAGGAAACATCATTCCAGAGTCAGGCCTGGAGTGCAGGGTGCAGTGGTCCACACCTAAAACCAGCACTTGGGAAGCAGAGGCAGAGGATCAGGAGTCAAGGCCAGCCTTAGCTACACCATGAATTTGAGGCCAGACTCGGCTATCTGAAAACATATTTCAGATCCCACTTCCCCCAAAGGTTATTCCCACATCTTGATGAACTCAGGAAGAGATAAATAAATGCAAAGGAGACATACTTTGTCTTTAAGACAGGGTCTCATCTTTGTTTTGTTTTGTTTGTTTGGTTGGTTTTTTGAGGCAGAGTTTCTCTGTGGCTTTGGAGGCTGTCCTGGAACTAGCTCTTGTAGACCAGGCTGGTCTTGAACCCACAGAAATCTGCCTGCCTCTGCCTCTGCCTCCTGAGTGTGGTGATTAAAGGCATGTGCCACCAATGTCCCGCACAAGGTCTCATTTATAAAAAAAGATTGATTTTGATTTTACAGGTATGGGTCTCATTTTCCATCCAGGTGGCCTTGGACTTGCAGATTATGTGCCATCACGCTTGGCCAAATGCTATGTTTCTGTCCAACACCAGCGAAAGATAAAAATCCATATAAACAGATGTTTCCAAATGTTCCCTTCTGGACTCAGCTTAAGCTGCCTCAAAGTACTGCTCTGGTGTGAAAGCCAGCAAGAGTAGCCATTTCTCAAAACAAACAAACAAAAACAAACAGAATTACCAAGCAATTTACAAGTTACAATTCTGGGTAGTGAATGAAAAGAACACATCTGGCTCTGGTGGCACACCTTTTAACCCCAGCACTCAGGAGGCAGAGGCAGGTGGATCTATGAGTTCAAGGCTGGCTGGTCTACAGAGTGAGTTCCAGGACAGCCAGGGCTACACAGGAAAACCCTGTTTTGAAACACCTGTCCCGCAAAGAAGAGCACTTATTGCTCTTTAAGAGGACCTGGGTTTAATTCCCAGCACCCTCATAGTAGTTCACAAGGGGATCTGTTGTCTTCTGATATCTGTGGAAACCAATCATGCGTGCAGGCAGGCAAGACTCGCATATGAAATAAATGAGTCTATAATTTTTTTTTTGAGACAGGGTTTCTCTGTATTGTTTTGGAGGCTGTCATGAAACTTGCTCTGTAGACCAGACTGGCCTCAAACTCACAGAGATCCGCCTGCCTCTGCCTCCTGAGTGCTGGGATTAAAGGCGTGCACCACCAATGCCCTGCGTCTATAATTTTTTTTAAAGGAAATTCTGACACATGCTACAACATGAGATAGGGTTCTCTGTTAAAAAAAAAAAAACAGACAGATGGCTCAGTGGTTAAGAGCCGTGGCTGCACTTCCAGAGGTCCAGTCCTGAGTTCAATTCCCAGCAACCACATGGTGGTTCACAACCATCTGCAATGAGATCTGGTGCCCTCTTGTGGCCTTTAGACACACATGTAGGTAGAACATTGTATAAATAAGAAATAAGTAAATCTTTTTTAAAAAAATCAACCAACCAGCCAACCAAAAACCCCAGTGCTGTAGGCTTTCCTTCTGTGAGGTCCTGAGAGGTATCAGGAACAGAGAGAAAGTAGAGGGGTAGGTGTTGGGGACGGGGGAGGAGTGACAAGGGAAAGGTCTCAGTCGGAGATGAGAATGCGGTGATGGTTGGTAACCACAGGAATGTGGGTAATGCCTGCTGTGCTTACTTATCACAATAGGAAAAGTAAGGGAAAACAGACAGAATTGATTGTGTTTAAAAACCATGCTGTGTGATCAGCAATTTCAAGCATAAGTCCAGCGGATACCCCATGAGAAATTAAACAAGGAACAAGGCGTTCCCACGGCCACTGTGTCACTTCTGAGAGCCTTACCGGTTACAGAAGCACAGTGGCATTGTGGTTGGGAGACCTGACAAGCCTCCCTCAAGGGACAAAGGTAGTGATGCCCAAACCAGAGGGCTCCACTCTGTGCACCGAGTACTAGCTCCTTCTTCCCTGTTCGGACCTCACGTAGCCCAGGCTGCCTTTGAACTCACCTTGTGGTTGAAGATGCCCTTGAACTCCCGATCCTACTGCCTCTACCTCTGGGATATTGAGATTACAGGTGTGTACTACAAAGCTCATTTTATATGGTGCTGGGATGGAACTCAGGCTTTGTGCCAGGCAAACACTCTGCCCACTGAAATGACATTCCCAGCCCTTGAGGGCTCACTCAGTATTCTCTTAGCTTTTTGCCAGATAGACACACTTGTAGTTCAGTGCAGACACGTCTGGAATCCCAGCAATTGGGAGGTGGAGGCAGGATGATCAGGAGTTCAAGTTCATCCTTGGCTACGTAGGAAGTTTAAGGCCAGCCTGAGCTACATGAGATCCTGTCTCACAACAGCAACACTACAGTAAAAGACACACTTGAAATGGCATCCAAGTCTATCTGATCACCACTTCAAAGCCGATTGGCCGGAGCCAAGAGTCGGTGCTCACTCAAGGATTGGCACCCCGAGAGACTGGAAAGCAATCTTCCTTCAAGGGCAGGATGGGGGCAGAGCCTGGAGAGATGGCTCAGTGGTTGAGAGCGCTTGTTCTTGCAGAGGGCAAGTATGCATGGGCAGTTCACAACTATCCATAACTCCAGTTTCGGAGAGTCCCGTGCCTTCTTCTGACCCCGAGGCACCAGGCACATAGATGCAGGCAAAAAGACCCTCCCAGATGCATGAAGTAAAAATAAAATATAAAACAAATGGGGAGGGGAAAACACATAACGAAGACCTTTGCCTTCCACACACACACATACGTTCATGCATACATAAACATGTATACATGCACGTCATAGACATTACAGATGGCCATTGTACTCCAGACCAGACTGAGAAATAAAAAAATAGTTACCCATGACACAAGCCCATGTCACCAAGCTTAATGTTTTATTTTAAAAAATATTTATCTATTTATGTGTGTGTGTGTGGGGTCGGGCATCATTGTGTGCACATGGAGCTCAGAAGTGGGTATTGATGCTTCTATTACTCTCCCATCTTTTTCTTTGAGGCAGGGCTCTCTCCCTGAACCCAGGGCTGTGTTTTCTCAGCTGGACTGGAAGCCAGCAAGTTCCAGCAACCATCCTGGATCTGCTCCCACCAAGCTGGGCTTACAGGTGTGAGCAGGATGCCCGACTTGCTATATGGGTGCTGGGATTTGAACTTCAATCCTCCTGATTTTACAATAAGTGGTTTTAGCCGCTGAGCCGTTTCTCCAGCCTTGCTGTTACCAAGCTGAAGCTACACTGTTTATCTGGCCCGAGAAATCAAGATTAGACACGTAATAGTCTTATAGTTGGTGTAATAATGAAATAATCCCCGTTTCACTTCTTTCTTCTTCCTACCCTTCTTCCCTTCCTTGATGCAGGGTCTCCCTTTGCAGTTCTGGCTAGCCTGGAACTTGAAACACAGTCTTGAACTTACATCGATCCTCCTGTTTCTTCTTCTTGGGTTCTGGGATACAGACCTGGTGTTAATTTTCCTGTTGATTTGTGACCTGCTCTTGGCCCCAGCTTTCTTCAGCCTTTCTAGCGTGTAAATCCAACCTCTTCAGCAGGGCGCATGGGACACTTGCTCCACTTCATGAAAAGAAAATTGGCCTGGTCCAGTAATTGCGAAGTAATTATCATCCCTAAACTAAAGCTGTCTTTTAACACCATTTTGCAAAGCACGTATCTCGGAAGCACTGGAGCAGAGGAGAAGACGTTCAGCCTCCGTATTCCCTTGAGTGCGAATGACAATGCCACGGAACCCCCACCAAAGGTGCGGTTGAGGATTGAGGGCAGCTGGTGCGCACTGGGGATGGTGGAGCATTGGGGATGGTTGGGGCGGGCATTCTGGCCATTGTCTGTTAAGGTCAACAAACCTTTACCCAGCGGTCAGCTGCCGCCTTCCTAACACCCTAAATGGGGGTCACATGAGAGGGCGCGTCTGTCGGTGGGTAGAAATCAGGAGCAGATGCTGACCGCGGAGGCTGTGGGTCCTTCCCCACGCCTCGGTGCAGCCAGGGCAGCAGACGCTCGGTGCCATGCAGCGGCCGTAACCTCATGTGCAAACACAGGAAGGCTCGTCTTTTACCCTTGAAAAGGTGTAGGAAACGCGCAAGCGCAGGCAGGGGCCCCTCAGGTCTTTAGCGTCAGCCCTCCCGGGTCGCCTAAGCCGGTCGCTGAGCCCGCGGGGCTGAGGTCCCCTGCAGGAGGGCGAGACTGGACCAGGAGCCTTGAGCCAGTCCCCCACGCGCGTGCACGCCCTTCCCAATTGGCTCCGCGCGCGCGTGCACGCCCCCTCCCATCCGTGTCCCCGCGCGTGCACGCCCTTCTTCTCCGAGGTCTCCCCGCGTGCGCGACGCGGTCGGCCGTCAGAAAGGCACGCGCCTCGCCTTTAACGCGGGCCGGAGGCGCGCGGCCCGTATGGCGTGCGAGCGGCGGCCGCTGCGGGCCTGGCCAGGCCTGGGCTGAGGCCGAGCCAGCCGCGGGGTTCCACAGCCCCGGCCGGCGCCCATCATGCGGCGGCTGCGGCGCCTGGTGCACCTGGTGCTCCTCTGTCCCTTCTCCAAGGGCCTGCAGGTAAGCGGCTGCAGGCCAGGTGCAGCCACACGGGGAGGGGTTGGGTATGGGATAGCGGGGGGTTGGTGGGCATGTTGTGCACTGAAGCCCTTCCTTCGTTACTCCAAAATTAGGCTTGTTTTTTTCTGGGGTAGCAAACTTGGGACATACCTTGCCCATGACCATGGCCGTCTGGAACCAGAAACTGTGATGACCTTGGGCCAGTGAGGGCCAGCTCCTGTCTGCAGAAGAGACTCCCCCTCTCGTGCTTTGGGGTGGTGGGGCCAGGCCTCTGGATTTCAGCCTCTGGTTGCCAGGGTCCTCAGAACCTGCAAGAAGGAGCCAGCACTTGCCAGCCCTGCCGCTCTGCAGGCGGACCTGAGGATGCAGGAGGATGCTGTCTCGGCTGCACCTTTGGTCCAGGGCCTGGCCTTAGACCGTTTTAGATAAAGGATGAAGACTGAAGCCTACTGGATGTAGAGATCTTACAGGCTCAGATGCCCTTGTCCTGCTCTCCTCTTTCAGGGGCCTTAGCTTGCTCTATGGTCCATGCTCAGCCTCAGGTTGGGTATGAGTTGAGGTTTTTGGTGAACTTCCTTGTGGCAGGAGATAGGGGTGTATCCATACCCTTAGTTCTGAAAGATAGGCCCTGACTCAGCAGTGAGTGGGCCTAGGAGTAGCAGGAGAGGGGTTTGGCCAGTTCCCTGTGGGGCTGGCTCAGGGAGAGTACTGGCTGAGCCTCGCCTGCCCGGAGCCTGAGGAAACACCAGGGCACCTGGCACATGGCCTGGGCTTCTTAGGCAGGGAGGTCACTGTGCAGTTACCGTCTCTGTAGCAGCCTTCCCCACCTCCCAAGTGGGTTCTCCGGCGCTGGACTATTCATCCCTGCAAAATATGGGCCCGGGGCTTGCCAGCCTGTTCACCACGGAGCAGCACAAGACCATGTAAGCTTTGAGTAGCCACTGTGGTGAGACCCGTCTTGGGGTGCGGGTATGCAATGGTTCAGGCGCTCTGGGGAAGAGATGGATCTGACAAAGGCCAGGTAGACCATCAGAACAAACCAGGTAATAGGAGCTAGCCAAAGTGGTTCGGTGGAGCCACCTGTGCCAAAGCCCGGTGTGCTGGGGCGGGGAGGGTGGGGGGAGTGGCCCCTGGCTTGGCAGTCTTCTAGCTTGCTTCAGGTTCTATATCGCTTGGTCCAGCCTGGGTCAGCCGCTAACTGTGGTCCTTTGCTGTAGGTGTAGCTTGAAGTCCTTTATCTTGCTAACTGTGGTCCTTTGCTGTAGGTGTAGCTTGAAGTCCTTTATCTTGCCTCACAGCAACAGTGCCTCCTGTTGTTTCTCGTCTTCATGTTTTCATTTTGAACAAATCTGAAAGAACCAGCTGATTGCCAGGACCAAATGGGCCTCAGGAGGAGAGGTCCACAGAGCCATGCCCCAGAAGAGGAAGAACCTTAGGAAGGGCTGGGCATTGTTCTTGTGAAGGAGGTCCCTTTCTGTTCCAACCAGAGGGAACTAGGGCAGGAGTATAGGCTTGAGTTCAGCATGACTCCCGGACCCAAAAGAGGGATGCTGGCTGCTTCCATCCCCAGGCTTTCTGGCAGCTGGTAGACGGGAGGCCGCAGGAAGCCCTTGACATCAGTAGAGGCTGTCCTCTTGGGAGGCTGCCCCAAGTCTGGCCCACTCACTCTCCCTTGCCTTTAGCTTCAGATTGGGACATTTAACCCTATGTGGCACACGCTGTCTGGAAGCCCAGTCCCTTTCCCCAGAGACTGCCGTTTCCCAAGGTGGGCACTGAGGAGGGTGGTGGCACTCAGCTGTCTCTGGCTGTCAACTTTGGGCACTGCTTGCAGTATTTAGTAGGCACCAGGGTCCTCAGCACCTAGACCGGACGTCTTTTCACCCTCCAGTGCTCTGCCCCCTGGGAAAGTGAGGACAGAGGGGGGAAGGATTATAGGGTGACAGGGTGACCAGGAGCCTCCACAGAAGAGGTCTTAGGCCCACTCTTGTTTTGGGTTGTAGGACCAGAACTGCCTGCCTTCTCTGCCCCCCCCCTTCTATCTTTTTTTTTTTTTTTGGTTTTTACAAGACAGGGTTTCTCTGTATTGTTTTGGAGGCTATTGGTCCAGCCTGGCCTCGAACTCACAGAGATCCGCCTGCCTCTGCCTCTCGAGTGCTGGGATTAAAGGCATGCGCCACCACTGCCCGGCTTCCCGTTTCTATCTTAAAACATTTTTTAAGACTTAGTTTATGTGTATGAATATTTTGCCTGCTTTTATGTGTGTGATTCATGTGTGTGCCCTGTGCCTGAGGAGGCCAGAAGGAGGCAATGGATCCCGTGGAACTGGGGTTACAGATGGTTGTGAGTGGGTGCTGGGGACTAAGCTGGTTTCTTCTGTAACAGAAATGTGTCCACCACACACACAGCTTTCTAAAAGAAATTGTGATAAAGTACACAGCATGATGGGCGGTGGTGGTGCACACCTTTAATCCCAGCACTTCGGAAGCAGAGGCAGGCAGATCTCTGTGAGTTCCAGGCCATCCTGGTCTACAGCGTGAGTTCCAGGACAGCCAGAGCGGTTACACAGAGAAACCCTGTCTGAATGAATGAACAAACAAACAAAAAACCAAACCAAACCAAAACAACAACCCTCCCCCCCCAAAACACCAAAAAAACCAAAAAACCCACAGCACGAGCCACACTATCCTGCCCATCTCTACTCGTACGGTTGGTACGTGTGCATTGAGACCAGCTGTGACACCACTGGCACGGTCTATCCCCCGAGAGCTTTACGGGTTGTGGCAGACTACTTCCTGCTGAGGCAGTCTGGTGTTTCTGTCTTGTATGGAGACTGGCTGTCCACCCTTGCTGTTGCTGATACGGCTGTTGTGAATATGTGTGCATGACTCCATCCATGTCTTCTCTCTGCTTCCCAGGGAGTAAGAGAGTTGGGTTGTTGGGCCCTTGCTTTCCACGCCTCCTTTCCTGCTGGTTTTGACTCAAGGGGACCAGTGGGAAAAATGAGGGGGTCACACCCCTGGGGTGGTTGAACTTGCCCCAGGCTGATGGCTCAGCTCACCTTATTTGGAGGCAGGAATGTTAGGTAAGGAGGGCATTTTAAGGGAGTGGGCTGTAAAAAAGATCTTTATTCCGCTTTATCTTTTCCTCGTTTTGAAATGTCTACTTGTCCCTCATGGAGGGCCCCTGGCTGTGTATGCCTGATAATGGCGGGGTGCTGAGCTAGGTGCTTCTCAGCGCTGGGGTAGTGGGTGCCTGTTGGGTTGCAAGGCTGTGAAAGGTCCAAAGAAGCGGAAGCTGTTCTTGGTTATGGGCATAGCAGGGCCACCGATGGGCACCTCCTCATCTGGTCCCTTCCTCAGCAGGGCCGGCTCCCAGGCATCAGGGTCAAGTATGTTTTGCTGGTCTGGCTGGGCATCTTCGTGGGCAGCTGGATGGTCTATGTGCATTACTCATCCTACTCGGAGCTCTGCCGCGGGCACGTCTGCCAGGTGGTGATCGTAAGTCTGCCTGGGCCCAGGGACCTGACCCATGTGGGGCTCTTAGAGATTTGGTGGGAGGTGGGCTTGGAAGTGAGGGAGTAGAGGGCTGGGGGTGGGGGGGGGGAGGTAAGGAAGCTGCTGCATGTGCCTGGAGTGGACTTAAATGTTGACACATGGACTGTTTAGCAGGGAGACAGGAATAGACTGGAGAGGGCTGCCCTGGCCAGCCTTGAAAGCAGGCCATGGGGTGGAGTCTTTTATGCCTTCCTCTCCAGGGAGCCATTGCTGCTGCTGAGTGAGGGTGTCCTTGGGAGTGCATGCTTGCATGCCAGTGCCCTGTGAGTGTGTCCATGAGCCTCATGGAGCTGGTACCTCGGTTCCCCATTCCCTGTGACTGGTGACTGGGGCATATTGTCCCCAGATAGGGGACATTGCCATTTTTCCAGAGGAGAGCCTTCACCACCCCATGGCCATACAGTCACGAGTGCTAGCCGGACTCTCAGCAAGGGAGCTACTCAGTGGATCCTTACCCTGCCCACTCTGCAGATGGAGAAACTGAGGCTTGGAGACCCAGGGACAGTAGGAGTTCTGAGGATGGCTGAACATACTGCCCACCTTAGTTTCCTTCTTTTTTTTTTCCAATTTTTTAAAAAAAAAGTGCATTTATTTGTATATGTGTATATGTGGGTATGTGCGCACACAGGTGCCGTGGCCTGTGTGGAAGTCAGAGGACGGCTTGTGGGAGCTGGTCCTCTCACTCCACCTTTACTTGGATTCTGGGGTGTGAACTCAGGCCATGAGACTTGGTGGCAAACTCCTTAACCTGGTGATCCAGCTTGCTGGGTCCTACCTTGGTTTCTGTGGAATTTCCTCTCAGCATTCTCAGCATTCTGTGGAATGCTGAGCAGGGCCAGTAAGCTCCTGCTTCTCTCCATCCACTGTGAGTCACGAGCAGCGTGGCCGCCGGCTCCTGCAAAGCCTTCCTACCCGCTCCTGAAGTCTTGTGACTGGTGTTGACGGGCTATCAGCACAGGGTCCTGTGGTGAGGGGCTTGCTTACAGGGTGGAGGGATGACAGGCATAGCTTCACTGTCTCATCTCTCTGATGAGGCTGTTTCTTGTGGCCACAGGACACTCTGTCTTTGTGGCTCACATGGCTGAGACAGTGCTTTAGATTGGCTCAGCTTCTTGGATGGTGGGGTGTTGGGTATCTCCCTTCCCCCATTTCCTCCAAGCCTGGCTCTGACCAGCGCCAGGCTCCATGGCAACCAGTGATGTATATCCGGGAATTTACCCAAGTGAGAGCCAGCAGGCCCTTTACCCCCAGACTAGGGGCTGGGTAGTGCTGATTTAATCTGTGCTGAGAGCTCTCCCGCTAATGAGGTGGCCTGGGGCAAGCCTGACAGGAGGTAAGGTCCTAGGGCCCCAGGATACCATTTCTTTAGGGACAACGACAAATCAGCTTGACAGTGACTAGTAACTGAAGTATTGGAGCATTTGAAGGACTGGGTCTTGTTCACAGACGGCAGCCCCTCCCTCCTCCGGCCGCACCTCTTATGGGTTGGCGGCTGAGTCCTGGTGGATCCTGAGGTAGACATCGAGGAAAGGCTGCTCCTGCCTCAGCCTACTGCAGTGGCAGGCTAAACCAGCCAGAGAGCACAGCAGATGGGAAAATGCTGGATGGGGAATGTGGACACCTGCTCAGGAGTGTCCCCAGCTGCTTTCAAAGTTCCAGAGCTTGGACAGCCTCACCATAGGGAGATCCCAGAAGCCCAAGGGGTGCTGCTCGCAGAGTCTTAACTGGGTAACACCAGAGGCTGAGTTATGGACCATGGCCAGGGCCCCTCTCATGGGTCTTGTGGCTTTTATGTCACCCTAGTCAAGGCTGCTATCTGACCATAGCTCTGCTGCTGGGGCCAGGCTGGGGCCGCAGTGGAAGCCTGTTGTGGGGAACTGCCTGTGCCTGGCATAGACTGGTGGTACCCCTATCTCAGAGGAGTCAGGTCAGCGAGAGGAGGCAACAGGGTTGCTCCTAGAGACAGCGCTATCCCTGTGCCCATGCTGCTAGTGGCTTTTCTTTCCCTTCCTTCCTGGGGGTTCCTGGAAGGGTGTGGTTGGGCTGTGGATCCAGAGGAAGTGGCTAGGGCTGTGACCACCTAGCCCCACGGCCTGGGCCATACCTGGTACCTGTCTCCTCAGTGTGACCAGTACCGCAAGGGCATCATCTCCGGCTCTGTCTGCCAGGACCTGTGTAAGTTGCAGAAGGTGGAGTGGAGGACCTGCCTGTCTTCAGCCCCAGGCCAGCAGGTACGCGCTGGGCATGGCTGGCGGGCTGGGTGTGGGCGGCTGCTGCTGGCGGCAAGCTGGACATCTATAGGGAACATGCTTGTCTAGGTGTACAGTGGGCTCTGGCAGGACAAGGAGGTGACCATCAAATGTGGCATCGAGGAGGCCCTGAACTCCAAGGCCTGGCCAGATGCAGTCCCAGGGCGGGAGCTGGTGCTGTTTGACAAGCCCACCCGGGGCACCTCCATCCAGGAGTTCCGGGAGATGATCCTCAGCTTCCTCAAGGTTAGTCTGTTCTCCTGGGGTCTCAGACCCTCACTGTAGCCCACAGCTGGGTGTTCACAAAGACCTGGGTAGGACGCAGGCAAGAAAGCATCTTTCCAGGGCTTGTGGGAACAGACTGGCAGAGTCTGAGGTGTGGTGAGGGCTCAGGAGACAGACTGCACGCAGGGTGGAGAAAGGAGGGACTGGTGGGAGACGGAAGCAGGCTCCAGGGCCAGGTAATAGTTCTCAGTGGCTCAGGCCGGTGCTGTGGCCTCCGCTGGCACCCCTCAGTGACACCGATGGAGGGATTGCGTGTGGTGCGGTCAGCAGGCCTTGTTGACATGCGAATGTCTAGACCCACTCAGTGCTCTGGCAGCTGAGAGGCATGCACCAGGGCCGCTTCTCTGCCTCCCTTTTGGTCCCACGTGTCAGGCGAACCTAGGAGACCTGCCCTCCTTGCCAGCGCTGGTTGACCAGATCCTCTTCATGGCGGACCTCAACAAGGACAGCAGGGTGTCCCTGGCAGAGGCCAAGTCTGTGTGGGCCTTACTGCAGCGCAACGAGTTCCTGCTGCTGCTGTCCCTTCAGGAGAAGGAGCACGCGTCCCGGCTGCTGGGCTACTGCGGGGACCTGTACCTCACCGAGGGCATTCCCCGCGGCTCCTGGCACGGGGCAGTGCTGCTGCCTGCTTTGCGCCCTCTCCTGCCGTCTGTGCTGCACAGGGCTCTCCAGCAGTGGTTTGGACCTGCATGGCCCTGGCGTGCCAAGATTGCTATTGGCCTGCTGGAGTTCGTGGAGGAGCTCTTCCATGGTTCCTATGGTACCTTCTACATGTGCGAGACCACGCTGGCCAATGTGGGATACACGGCTGCCTATGACTTCAAGATGGCTGACCTGCAGCAGGTGGCACCGGAGGCAACCGTGCGCCGCTTCCTTCAGGGCCGCCACTGTGAGCACAGTTCTGACTGCATCTATGGGCGAGATTGTAGGGCCCCATGTGACAGGCTCATGAGACAGTGCAAGGGCGACCTCATCCAGCCCAACCTGGCCAAGGTCTGTGAGCTGCTGAGGGATTACCTGCTGCCGGGAGCCCCTGCAGACCTCCGAGAGGAGCTGGGCAAACAGCTGCGCACATGCACTACTCTGAGTGGACTGGCCAGCCAGGTGGAAGCTCACCATTCACTGGTGCTCAGCCACCTCAAGACATTGCTCTGGAGGGAGATCTCCAATACCAACTACTCATAATGCTGCAGGCTCCAGCCACCATAGTTCAGCCGTGGGTGGAGCACACACTTGGGTAAGGTTGCCCCTCTGCAAGCCCCCCTCACTCTCCCAACAACTGAGCAGAGGTCTCATTCCTCTGAACATGTAAATAAATGGCTTTTATGTGACACCTGGGCATTTGGATCCTTGGCTAAATATGAAGCAGCCTTCAGGCAACACTCTATTTTAGAGCTCTTGTCTAGGCACCAGAGGAAGACATGTGGCATGTATTGTGGGCCTGAACGCACCTTTGGTTCTTAGAAAATTTGCACAGCCCCGAGGATCCTGGGAACTCTTTGGTCGTGGCATTTCAACACCGGCACCCCACTAAACCCCTCTGCAATATCCCCACACTCATCTTTGCTAACCAGCACTTTTGCTGGCCAACAATAGGTAGACCATGTCATCTTGTGCTTTACATCTGAGAGCAGTTTCTCTCTCCTCCCATTAGTTTAAGGAAAATGTTTGCCTGCAGTATGACAGCAAACTCAGCAGTCAGTGCTTTTAGTGTAAGTCAGCCAGTTCCAGCCCAAACCCCTAGCCTTACTCACTCTAGCAAGTTTTATTTTCCAGGGGAGATGAAGGGTAAGGCAGCAATGGGCTATTGACCCCGGAGAATGCTGATAACAATGACTACAAACAAGCTTCAAGAATTAATGAGTTTATTTGTGTCACAGCACCTACAGCTAGCTTTCCCCTCCTACATAATTATCACTTCTAAGGCAATGTGCACCCCTACAGCTACTACATAGACCTCACTTCAGTCTTGAAGGAACAACCCAAGCCAACAGATGTGGTCCATAATTTAGGACGTGGGCTGCCAGGATAGAAGTGTGGAGCTGCCCAAAGCCAGTATGGGTGGTTCTGCAGGTCTTTGGTGAGGTTACAGAGGCCACATCTGAGGCCCATGGCCAATAATCACATCTGCACCTGTCCTGATCAGCCATGTGACCAAGAGGTAAGCAATGTAGGCCTTATTCTTCCTGGCTTCTGGATCTGAAAAATGAAAAAAGGACAGATAGTTTCTTGCATTTCCTGACCCCTCTGAATGACCTCCCCCCACTCCAAAGTTCTATCTTGCTAAAATGCCAATCACGAAACCTTTTGGCAAGCCCTTGAGGTCTCTTGACACTGGGGCCTGGCCGCCAACAATAAAGCCACACCCCAGCACCACCTCACCATGGCTCTGCAAAAATGTTAGGCTATAAACCATTCTTAGTGCTCACTGGCTTCTGAACACTGAGCGTAGAAATAGCCACTTGCTCTTTGCCCCGATGTCACAGGCACAGCTGAGTAGCCGTGCTATGCCCGTAGCGCTGACAGATGAAGGGCAGCGGCACACATTCCCGCGCATGCTCCAGCCCACCCACACCTCTTACCTCAGATGGGCCATGGCTGGGCATCTGGCATGCAGCTCACACCACAAGCAGAGCTTAGTGGCCAGCTTTCCTGCACCACAGAAAAACAATCAGTGCAGCTCCGTCGAATCCACAGGTGCTGCACCCCCACCCCACCAAACAGGGTCTACACACAACGATGTACTTTTAAACCCACCACCAGGCACCACTCTCCTCGCCGTCTATGGTGCCAGGGATGGAGACCCAATGGCTGGCAACCAGTGCGCAGGACAGCCGGTTTGAAATGCCATTTCCTCACACCAAGATAGCCTGCCAACAGCTCCAGATCATTAGGCAGTAACTCCACTTATCTCCTCGAAAGATAGCTTTGACGCCATCACCATTTCCACCCAATGTGGTTTAGTGAGGCAGTCTCTTGCCCCACAGCACAGGCTGGGGGAGCATCCAGGATTACACAAGTACATGCCAAAATGCTCTGCTTCCCAGGACCTTTTTAAGGTTACTGGCTTCGTGATTTCCAACAAGTCAATGTATCTCTACTCTCCTATTCACAGACTGGCCTCTCTACTGGGTTTGCGCAGGGCTATCCCGCCTCCGCTTCGGAGTGTTAGGCTACTAATCATTCAGATGTTCACAGGTCAGAACACTGAGCGTAGACATAGCCTCTCTCCTCTCTGCCACCTACTGACGCACATGCGGCACAGCAGCCACACCTGCAACGCCTCTAGGGGCAGGACGGTGATGAACCAAGTATGACCATCTAAATCTTTAGTAACTCTGGGTCAACTTACCTAAGGCCACAACATGTTCTCACAGCTTCTTAACTCCAGCAAGCTCCCTAGAGAAGGAAGGCAAACATTCCACACACATTCTCGGCAAGATCACGGGGGTGGAGGGAGGGGGGTGTACGGGACCGACACTGCATCAGGCCTGTATTTTATTCCTTTCCCAATGGGTCCACAGTGGTTCGGTCTCCTTGCTAAGGCTTTCTGCAAGTAACACAGTAATAGCTAAGGAGACAGGATACTGTCTCAGGTCCGCGTTATCTCAAGTTGGCCATTGAGAACGGTTCTGAGTAGCCGTCCTGCATCAGCAAATGCAGACAGGCACTTTCCCTAGTGCTCCTTTGGCCTAGGAAGGGGGGCCTGGGGTCGAGCACCACTCAGGGATGACCACGGAGGGGTGCTTAGGGAGCTCCCTGCACTGCACTAGCCCAGACGCGGAGCCTTCCACCCGGCCCCCGGGCACATCATGAGCTGCCCTTCCTCTTACCACAAGGTCCGTCTGCTGCACATGTTAGGGCAACTGAACCCTTGGAGGCAAAGCACGCGACACATCTTTTACGATCAACGGTACGAGACGTAGTCCTCCCGCCAGCAGTCCGAGAGCTACGGCGGGTGGTCCGCGGCGTCCCAGGTCAACCACGGAAGACATGACGATAACAACCTGCTCGCCGCCATGGCCGCCGAGAGGCTGAGCTGGGCCGCACCACGTCTTTTATAGTCGTGCCTACGGCAGCCCGCGAGGGACTGTCGCTAGCCTCTGGCTGCAGCGCCCTCTAGTGGACCCTTCGCTCCTCGCCAGCGCTCCTCGTAGCCCCAGCCCCCCAGGGGCTCATGGGCTAGCGGTCCTCATCAAACGGATCTCAGCGACTTATTTTGTGTCTCGCAGGGCTTTTTCACGCCACCCATGGAGTCCTGCACCTTCTCAGGAAGCTCTCTGCTGTTTTTTGATTTGTTTTGTTTTTGTTTCTTTTGGGGGAAGCCTTGCTTCCCACGTTCTTGATTATGCCAAGGTTTCCACACAAAGGGGAAGGGCCAGTTCTGACTAACCAATATTCAGGGGCCAAGGAAGTGACACTTTGCTTCCTCATTTACAGGGACGCTTTGGGGATGGGTCAGGAAGGAGCTACAGGGAGTTCGTGGGTCCCAGATATTCAGCTGTGGGGGTAGAACTGGAGGGCATGCTTTTGAAAGGTATATATCTTGACTCCCCCCCCCCCCACTGGCTACCATGAAACAGTGTAACCTGTGTTACACAAGCAAGGGGCCCACAAGGCGTTTCTCAGGGATTCACACAATCCATCAGACTACCTTGGCTATTTGCCATTTGAGAGATGAACACTAAGGTTCAGAGCTGAGCAGGACCAGGGCCCTGTGTCTGCAGCTGGTTTCAGGGTCCTTGCTAACCTCTGTCCCCACCAAGTTCTCTTTGTGGCTGGGGTCCTGGATTCTAGGGACTGCACCCTCAGACCAGAAGCCATCTCTGCCTTGCCTGGGTGGAAGTGAGGAAGGGGTAGTCCTGGGCTTTGTCCTCTCCTTATTCAGGGACCTGACTCTCTGGGCACTAGGAATAAAGAGGCTCACAGACCTGCAGAGCTCAGGATCACCCCTGAAGCAGCTGGATGCAGCCTCCTTCAGTGCGCCCCATGGGTCTCAGGATCTAGGGTGAAATCCTGGCTCTGCAGGGCAGAAACCCAGTTCCTTATAGAATCCTTGCTCACCTCTGAAACGCCATGATGTGAGGTCTCTGATGTCTACTGTAATGTTCTCTCTGCATTCTTGTCCTCTGAGTGCCTGTCAGAATGACCCATTAAACTCTGCTTCCAGTATTTAAAGGCTTTTTGGCCCAAGGTTCTAAACTTTGATACATTCTTGCTGCAAACAAGTTCCAAAGGCCTAAGAAACATGATTAGCACAGCTATGATCTCACTTCCTTTTTAAATTTTTATTTTATTTTATTTTTTGGTTTTTTTACGAGACAGGGTTTCTCTGTTTTGGAGGCTGTCGGTCTAGCCTGGCCTCGAACTCACAGAGATCTGCCTGCCTCTGCCTCCCAAGTGTTGGGATTAAAGGCGTGCGCCACCAACGCCCGGCTAAATTTTTATTTTTTATATGTGTATGAATATTTCACCTGGATGTTTGTTTGTGTATCACGTGTGTGCCTGGTGTCCACAGAGGCCAGAAGAGGACATCAGATCCCCTGAAACTGGTGTTGCAGATGGTTGTGAGCTGTCATGTTTGAGCTGGAAATCCAACCTGGCTCACTGAAGAGCAGCCCGTGTTCTTATGGTGGCCTCACTTCTTGTTACCAATCCTTTTTTGTCTTGGTATATTCATCTCGGTTTCCTTTTCTGTTGCTGTGATAAAATACCCCAACAAAAGCAAATTAAGGGAGAAAGCATTTGGTTCGCAGTTTGAGGCTGCAACTCACTGTGGCAGGGAAATTGACGCCACAGAAGCTTGAAGCAGCTGGCTACTTTGCATCCACAGTGGAGGAGCAGAGAGAGATGGACGCTGGTGCTCAGTGCGCCTGGCTTTTTGTATTCAGTCCCGGACCTCAGGCCATGGGACTTCAGGTACCCACACTCAGGGTAGGTTTTCCCACCTCAGTCAGCACAATCTAGGAACTGCCCCCACGTGTAGTGGCATCTCGGCTTGCCAGTGAACTTGTAGTAGTGGCCACACCCTTTGGGCACGCTGCTCCTCTACCTTAAAGGGGTCCCATCCGCACCTGAAACCAAGCCCAAAGGGTGTGGCCATGACTACAAGTTCACTGGCAAGCCGAGATACCACTACACCCAAGTTTGCTTCCTTGATTCCAAGTCTCAGCAGTTGACAATCAAGATTACCCAGATGGCTCAGCAGCTAAGAGCCGCTCTTCAGAGGACCTGGGTTCACTTCCAAACACCCACATGGTGCCCCCCTGGCTTCCATGGATACCCAAACACATGGCACACTCACATAAATAAAAATAACTCTTAAAAAAAGATGAAGCAAAAAATATTTTTGGCACATTTGTTTTATACAACTAACTCTTTAGTAATTGAATATATAGGCAACATTAAGTGTACACTACAAGGTTACAACCTGAGGAGACAAAAACGTCAGTCAAAAAGGCCAAAGGAATTCTTGCCATAACCACAGGAGGTGAGGGTGTATTTTAACTGTAAGCATGGCCAGTAACGTTGTCTGTGAGGGTCCAGCTCTGTGCAGACTCCAACCAGGTCCCTGCAGAGTGCCTCCTTTCTCTTCCTGTTGTCTCTTCCTTCTCCTTCTGTTTCTCTCCCACCTCAGGAGGAAGCAGGAGGCAGGGAGACTTCACTCAGGGTGGGAACCGAGGCCCGGACACAGACAAGCAGCTGTGGGTTGTCCTTCGGCACCAGGGCTGACCCTGGCTCCCGGGGAGGGTGGGAGCACAAGGGGCCCTTGTGTCATGCTCTTGGCTCCAGATTCCTAGGTGGGGCACTTCCCACTCTGAGAACATTCTCACTGGACAAGGGTCCTCAGAAGTGCCAAAGGCAGTCACGAGGTTAATTCCACAAATTAGCTCCTCCATTCACATCCATCCAAACAAAACTGCAGTCTCCTGGACAGAGTGGGGTGGACAATGACTTTGGTGTGTGTGTGTGTGTGTGTGTGTGTGTGTGTGTGTGTGTGGGTGTGTGTGTGAGGCAGGATTGTGCTTCCAGAGCAAGCCACTCTCTATGACAAGCAGCTGGAGCAGCAGTGGCGGCAGCAGCAGTGGCAGCAGCAGCAGTGGCGGCAGCAGCAAGGCTAGGAGCACAGAGCTGAGCTGGGACCATGCAGCTGCTGGCGTTCACTGTGGGACTGGGTCTGCTATTTGTGGCTGGAGCCATGATGCCTCCTCTGACTCCTGCCCGTGCTGAGCAGGTGATGGCCCTGGGGAGGGAGGACTGAGGGCAGGAACTGGCTTCCAAAGACAGACCTTGGCCTGGGTGAGTCTCAGGTGGCTGCCAAAGTATAGCCCTGCTTTCCTTCTTGGCGGGGTTTGTGGGCTGTGTGGTGGTGGGGGCTTGGGAAGGCATACTAGCTAGTAGCATCATGCTCTCTCCCACTTGAGGAGTACCCAGAGGCTGAGGGAAGGCTTACAGAGATTTTGCCAGACAGTACTGGCCTGTGTGGCCAACACAGACACCCACAGACCCACATCTTCCCTCTCAGCTTGTGGGCCGGAGAAAAGTGTCTTCCTTTTCACCAGATAGGTTTAATTCAGAATTTCTATTCCCAAGGACAGGCTCATAATTGGCTAACTGTATAAAGCCAGAGATTTTTCAAGATTTTTTTTTTGAGACAAGATTTTACCGTGTAATAGTACTGGCTGTCCTGGAACTCACTTTGTAAACCAGATTGGCTTAGGTCTGTTTCTGCCTCCCGAGTGCTGGGATCAAAGGCGTGAACCACCATGCCTGGCTAGTTTTCAAAGAAAACTGTACAATGTTGGAGTGTCTTTATGAGAAGACTAAGCCTTGGAGATGGCCGGCCACCCTTCCAGGCCCTGTTACTGATGGGTAGTGTGCCTGGCCGCAGCTCCCAGATCCCTCTAGTCCAGTTATTGGGCCCTCCATCCTGACCCCATGCGGTCTCACAGTGACTTCAAGTTTGTTCAGCTTTCAGGAGCTGGTCAACTCTGAGTCACACTCTTTGCCTCCTGCTTCTCAGGACCCCACTCTCTGTCAGTTCCTCTCCAAACCCCTGCTTGGATCCTTCCTGTTCCCTCACAAAGGAACAGGATCCAGTCACCTCAGGTTTCACTCAGGCCCTGAAGTCCTGGCCACAGGCCACAAATGATGCAAAAAAGTGTGTGGGCCCCATGAGCTGGAAACATGGTGGCAACTGGTGCTGAGGCTGGCGGGCATCTGTGCTAATGCTGATGGGGTCAGCACTACTGTTGACCGGGTTTAGGAGACACTTGATGGATTCAGTCCTTAGAAGGCTGGCAACCACAGGAGAAAGACAGGGGCTGCCCTTTGGGGCTGGCCACACCCTGGCGGTGTGTGTGTGTGTGTGTGTGTGAGACTGCGGCAGCAGCCCACACACGGTGAGAGCACTGTTGTACTGTCACCTGTAACTAGGCAACTCCGAAGCTCAGTCCACTCTGGTCCCTTCCCTGCCCTTCTAGTTCATCCTCTTTAAATAAGGGTTGACCTGCTCCTTCGGATGACTCTCCTCAGCATCCACTGGGTATCTGTGTGTGGTCTGGTCTGGGTCCCTCCTAGGAGGCCACGCTTCAGGCCTGCTTGGCTCCGTTGATGACGGAGAGGGAAGGTCATGACCAGGAATCCTTCTGATCATCCAATGCCTCAGGCCCTTGCAGCCTGCACTGAGACCCTAGCCAAGCTCTGTTCCCACTTTAGCTCCAGCTCAGGACCTTGGCTTCCGACATTGTCACCTTCGCACAAACGGCTCTCCTCTTCAGATTCTAGGAAAGTGGCACATAAGGAGTTGGGCAGGAAACATGCCTATTCCTTCATGGAAGTGGAGTGACCCACTGCCTCCTTTCGCGTTTGAAAGAAACAGTCTCGGTGATCTGGAGTTCAGGATGAACCTCACGTAAGTAGCTTGGCGGCAGACTCTGGTCTTTGGTGTTGTCTGACTCCAGGGCCCCCCTTCCCACACACTTCCTGACTAAAGCTAGCTCCACTACACATCACTATGAAATCTTCTTGCATTGTCTTAGAAAGCTGACAGACAAACCCCATAACCAAGAGAATGATTTTCATGTTGAAACTAGGCTGAATCCAGGAGGCTCAGGGAACCAACCTGTTGTATTCTAGGCCTTGCCCATTGGGTTGAGATAGCCGCTGTTGGATGCCTCCAGAGAAACCAGCGTGGGCTTCATGAGGTCTTGCTGGTGCCTGTGTTTCCCTGACCAGCCTCTGTGCCTGTCATAGGGACTCTGTGTTATCAATCCTCAGTATCCCTTGGTAGCAATAGGCTCCAGGGCTTTGGACACCTGAACGTGTGTCTCTTGGAGTCTCTGTCACAGAGCTGAAGAGTCCTGGCTTGTTGGAGGTGTCATGCATTAGGAGGTGGTAGGAGGTGACCTCATGACTCTGGCCCGATGATTGGAAGTCGGGAAAAACTACGGGTGCCCTGGGGAAAACCATGCTTGGATCCTGCATTCTAGGAAACCCATTGGCTGCATTCCATTCAAGCTGCCTCTATATGAGGGAGAGGAACTTGGCACATTCCTTACCTGTAAGTAGCTGGGCTCCAATTCTTATTTCAGTAAAGGCTCAAAGGGAGACCTGCTGGTCACACGATTGTGTTGCCCACAGGGTGGAGACACCTCATCTACATCCACTTCCTGCCTGGGAAGAACTTCGCCATTGCCTACTTCAGGGGCAAAATGAACTATCGGTACTACCAGATCATGATGCTCATGGGTGCGTTCCAGATCCTTCTGTGTTTGAGCACCAACTCTTGCTGCCCAGCTTCTTCTCCTGGGGAGCCATTCATACACTTCCTGAACTCATCAGGAATGGGATTTGTAAGCACTTGGCCCATTTTTTTTTGAATCTTCAGTTCTCATAAGACCAATCCTAGTATCAGGAGTCACATCTACTGGGGACCCAGCCAGCTCCTGGCTACTCCCTTCCCCACGGTTAGCCTTTGTGTGGCTCTGCTCTGAACAAGGGTCTGATTGCTGCCCGTTTGTCGCCGGGGACACTGGGCAGCACGTGCAGTTGTCGTGGTGGGAGGGATTGCAGTATTCAGAAAATGTATGTAGGGATCCAACCCAACACCCTGCCGGGCATAGGATGCCCACCCAAGGAAAGTGTTCTTTTACAGGGTCAGCAGTGCCAGGTGGAGACGTGACCCCTACTGCCAACACTGTCCACACAGAGCAATGTGCTCACCCTCCTTCACCACACTTGTCACCTCTGCCAGCAGCTCTGCGCCATGGTCCTTCTTAACACGGCGTGGCCCTGGGCTGCCTCCTTGTCTCTCTGTGTTCTCTGCTTACCCACTCTTCCCTCCCATGCTGGCCCCACCAGTTGGAGGCTCTGGGCATAAAAGGCCCTTAAAGTGGCCCCTGCAGGGTCTTAGGCTGTAGCAGGGGCCAAAGCACCCTGACCTTTGGTTCATAGACGAGAATTTCAGGAGCCTCGGAGCTGCCTAAACACTCCTTGGTATCCTCAGGTCACTGCTTACTACTCTCGTAGACAGAATTTCTCGTGCCCTTTCTTTCCTCTATGCGGCCATCATGATATCACTGGAGGCACAAACCTCCACAGCAAGCAGGGTTTTAGTGAAGCTGGGATGGGAAATTGCCTTGGGCTGGACTTTAGAGTGATGTGTATATGTCCTGTCAGGAGGAACCCTGGGTACAGCATGTAAGATACAGTACCCAGAGGAGAGGCCTGTGCCAAGGACGCCCTAGGGGCCCCAGACGAGCCGAGGACATACAGGGACCCTCCCACTGCAGGATGAGCCTTTATGGGGCAGGGGATGGGCCTAGGACAAACTGAGCACTGAACCCCTTCTTTGTCTTCTCACCTGATGCTCCTGCAGTCGTGAAGCTCAGGGCTTCTGTCCTGGAGGGGCTGGCACAGGGTGGGGCAGGGCATCCTTGAACCCAGGAAGAGTGCTGTGCAGAGAACTCTACATCTGTCCCCTGCTCACCAGAACTTGGAGGCTGGAGACTTAGAAGGGAGCAATCATGAGGGTTACAGTCCCACAGCATGCTCCTTCAGTCAAGAGACTGGCCTTCCAGTCAGAGGCAGGCCATTCACCCTGAAGGCTCCCCCTCAGGTCTGGGGTGGGAGAGTAGCTCTTAGGACCAGCTGCCTGCTTCCAGCCTAGAGTGAGGCTCCTCCCCTCCTCTCTGTGTGGATTTGGAGGCAATGCCTCCTTACCACTCACCCTCACCCCATCTGCCCCGTAGGCCGCACCCTGGAAGCAGACCTAGATGCTGTGAGGATCTTCAAGGAATTTGTGGAGACTAAAATCCCAAAGACAGGAGAGATCATTACCCCTCCCCATGTCGGTAAGAAGAGGTCTTCTCACTTCCCTTTTGTCTGGGCTGGGCTCTGGACATTTCTTCTCTAAAATGGTGACCACATGAACAGCCTGGTTTTTCTCACTGCTCACCTAAATCTGACCTGCCCTTTGTCCGTCTCGGGTCTACAGAAGCCTGTGAGTTGGTCCAAGATTCCTAGTGCAGAGGGAGTGCAGCAGATCCCACGAGGAAGTGGAGCTGGGAGCCTGGCTGACCTCTGCTCCGGCAGGCAGGACTCAGTGTCAAAGAGCGCAGGGCCCGGCATCTGTACCTCCCTCAAGAACCTTCGCTCAATAAAGCTGGCGGATATCCCCTGGTCACGTGTCTCAAGGGTCCAGTGGGCCCGGATGCTGCGTTAATCAGGTGTGGGCAGATGCGCAAACACGACTGTGGTCGTCAGGAAGGGAAGGGCTTTTGTTTACAGCCACAGGTCCCCAAACAGGTGCCATACCACAGCACACAGGGCCACAGCAGGGGACAAGCTGGGCCGGTGGAGAGAGGGATGGGGGCAGAGCCTGAGGGGCAGTTAGTGGCTGAGGAGCAGGGAGGCAGGGGTAGGTTGGTTAATGTAAGTCACTGCAGAGCTTGGGACCTCAGGGTGTCCCTAGTGATCTGGGCACCTGGTGAAGGATGGTGGCTTAGGCGTGAAGGCGGGCCTTGCAAGCGAGGTATTTACTAGCTCTAGAAACTAACTGTGTGGGGTGAGGCCCTCCACAGTCGGAGAGACCTAGAGACAAGCACTCCAAGAATTCAGAAAATATAGGACCCGAGCATGTATGTGGCTCAGCCCTGGTTATACAAGATGAGACATTGACATCTCCACAGAAGTTCCCACAAACTCACACACGGTAGCCTTTCTTCTGGGCACAGCCAGGCTACATTCAGAGGACGCTCAGCAGCTCCTGAGAATATCTGCCCAATCCCAGCGAAAGCAGGAGGCTATGAGGGAAGGACGCTGTTTGACCTGGGAATGAGGGTCCTTTGGGGGCGTGGCCTTGGACAGCTGGAGCCGCTTAAGAAGCCCCTGCAGTGGACAAGCTTCGTAGAGAAAGGAGGACCTCAGAGCACTGGGCCAAACCTTGGGTGAGCATACCCATGGGCCAATCTGGGAATTGGCTCTGTTCAAGAGGGACTAGAATCACAGAGAAGAACTTCCTCTTCCCCTGTGTGGTCCTTTCCCAGAGGACCCGTGGCACTGTGAGGCAGGACCTCCCTGAGTGCAGAGTGGGTCTGGGTAGGGAATTCTGCACCTTGCCTTGACACAGGGATGGGAACCCTAGGAGTAAATTGTCCAGGTTTGAACTGTCATCTCCCCTTAGCTGCTGTGGCGAGGTGTTGACAGTAGGAGGTGCTGGAGGGCTGAAGGACCCTGCTTCCTTGCTTGTCTTGCTTTTTTTGGTCCTGCCGAATCCGAATCTGAAGAACAAGTGTGATGACTACATTCCTTACACCCTGTGTAGAGTTACCTCTGGTTCCGTTATTTCTACCTTTCTCCCTGTGTTAGACATAAAACCTGGCAGGGCAGTGTGGAGCCCGCCTTTAATCTCAGCACTCAGGAGGCAGAGGCAAGGGGAAGTCTCTGTGAGTTTGAGGCCAGCCTGGATACAGAGTGAGTTCCAGGACAGCCAGGGCTACACAGAGAAACCTTGTCTCAAAACAACAACAACAATAGCAACAACAACAAAGACAAAACAATAAATAAATAAATAAATAAATAAATAAATAAATAAATAAAAGCTGACTACATTCGAAGACGCCTTGAGTCACCTTAGGCCCAACTACAAATGAACAGAAAAACATGAGTCTCCTGCTGATGCAGGCTAGTCTAACTTTCCTCCTCCCCAAATCTGGTAAGCTACCCAACACACCCAAACTGTATGTTTGGAGTGGAAAATTACTAACATCTAAATTTTCCTGCAGAGTCATGTATTTGGACTCTGGTCTGATCACTCTTTGGTCTATTGTTGGTTCCTGACTTGGGATGAATAGAGAAAAGTCTCACATAGCAGCCCGTCTGTCAGGTAATTCTAGATCTCATCAGGCTGACAATGGACATTAACCACCACATCACATCTAGGAACTTCAGCTAATCATTCATACTGCATTCACAGTACAAGCATGGCCAATAACGTTGTCTGTGAGGGTCCAGCTCTGTGCAGACTCCAGCCAGGTCCCTGCAGAGTGCCTGCTTTCTCTTCCTGTTGTCTCTTCCTTCTCCTTCTGTTTCTCTCCCACCTCAGGAGGAAGCAGGAGGCGGGGAGACTTCACTCAGGGTGGGAACCGAGGCCCGGACACAGACAAGCAGCTGTGGGTTGTCCTTCGGCACCAGGGCTGACCCTGGCTCCCGGGGAGGGTGGGAGCACAAGGGGCCCTTGTGTCATGCTCTTGGCTCCAGATTCCTAGGTGGGGCACTTCCCACTCTGAGAACATTCTCACTGGACAAGGGTCCTCAGAAGTGCCAAAGGCAGTCAGTCACGAGGTTAATTCCACAAATTAGCTCCTCCATTCACATCCATCCAAACAAAACTGCAGTCTCCTGGACAGAGTGGGGTGGACAATGACTTTGGTGTGTGTGTGTGTGTGTGTGTGTGTGTGTGAGGCAGGATTGTGCTTCCAGAGCAAGCCACTCTCTATGACAAGCAGCTGGAGCAGCAGTGGCGGCAGCAGCAGTGGCGGCAGCAGCAGTGGCGGCAGCAGCAGTGGCGGCAGCAGCAAGGCTAGGAGCACAGAGCTGAGCTGGGACCATGCAGCTGCTGGCGTTCACTGTGGGACTGGGTCTGCTATTTGTGGCTGGAGCCATGATGCCTCCTCTGACTCCTGCCCGTGCTGAGCAGGTGATGGCCCTGGGGAGGGAGGTCTGAGGGCAGGAACTGGCTTCCAAAGACAGACCTTGGCCTGGGTGAGTCTCAGGCTTACTGCTGGGAGCCACAGGCGGTGTTGAAGAAGTACCCTCTTATGGCCTCGGTGGGACCTTTTGTGGCGAGAGTGGAGCTTGAGCGTGCATCCGAGGCCATGGTCATGCCTTTCTTCTCAAGTGGCTGTTTAGAAGCTAAGAGAATGTTTATGGGGTCCTGCTAAATGGTCCCTGTCCTGGCTATAGCCAGTGTTGATATCCAAGAATAGGCTCCCTTCCTCCCAATTTGTGGACTTTAGAGAAACTTCATATTTTTCCAGTAAGTTGACTCCATGTTTTCATCCATTTCAAGGTTCCCTGTGTCTTGTGTATCTGTGGAGGCAGCTGACTGATTTCAGGAGAACACTGATCAGTCCATTTCTTAGAGGAGGCAGTACAAGCTGGGGAAGGAATCCGGGCCAGGGGTCTTGGGGATTGTCACACCTTAGCGATTTGACTCTAGACAGTGAGGCAGTCCATGCTCAGTTGGTGTAGTCATGTTTGTCTCTGGCCGTCTCCTCAGCCACGCCCCCTCTGCCCTGTCCTCCTGATCAGCACTCTGAAATGAAAGGTCAACTCTGTTCTCCAGATCACATTTCTCAAACCCCTCTGAGTGGCTGTTCAGGGACCCTGGTCAGAGCTCATCCCAGGAGGTGTGTCCTCCAGGAGGCATCTGCCCTGCCTGCCTATCTAGTGATGATGGAGAGGGACAGCCATGATCAGGACTCCTGCCAGTCCAGCATCTCAGACCCCTCCATCCCGCACTGAGATCCTACCACATTCTCCTGCCTCTGGCCCTTTTCCTGCTCCATCTCTCCCTGCAACTGTGTGTGTACTGGTGGCCTCCTACTCCAGCTTTTAGGGAAGTGGTACATAAAGCGCTGGGCAGGAGACATGCCTATTCCTGAGTGGAAATGGAGAGACCCGCTGCCTCCCTTCACTTTCGAAAGAAACCATTTTGAGGAGCTGGAGTTCAGGATGAACCTGACGTGAGTAGTTTCTGTGGAGGCAGCCCTTTCTGCCGCTGCCAAACAATCCCAACCCCTGCTATGCACACGCTGCCTGACCTCAGCTAGTCACTCAGGGAATATGGCATCCTTCTGTGTAACCATAGGAACGATGCTTTCAGGACACTGAACTGAGTTCACGGTCTTAGGGGGTCTCACCTGCTGTGTTTTGCACCAGTGCTGGGTACAATACGGGGAGTTTCCTAGCACAGCGTTTCTTGTTTCTGGAGAAGCCAGCATGGGCTCCAGGATTAGGAGTAAGGAAAAACCATGGGTGCCCTGGGGAAAGCCATGCTTGGATCCTGCGTTCTAGGAAACCCATTGGCTGCATTCCGTTCAAGCTGACCCTGTATGAGGGAGAGGACCTTGGCACATTCCTTACCTGTAAGTAGCTGGACTCCAATTCTTATTTCAGTAAAGGCTCAAAGGGAGGCCTGCTGGTCACACGACTATGGTGCCCACAGGGTGGAGACACCTCATCTACATCCACTTCCTGCCTGGGAAGAACTTCGCCATTGCCTACTTCAGGGGCAAAATGAACTATCGGTACTACCAGATCATGATGCTCATGGGTGCGTTGCAGATCCTTCTGTGTTTGAGCATGGACTCCTGGGCACAGGTCCATGTCTTCCTGCCCAGGTTGCTTCATTCCCTTCCCTCACCGGAAGGCACTCCTGCACTTCCTGGACTTGGTGTGGTGGGTTGTAAACTCTTGGTCACATCATTTTCAGCTCTCACATGATCAATCACTGTGACTTAGTCTTTGGTCCACTTTGATCCGTCCAGTACCGTGTTGCCTCCTGCACCCCTGACCCACCTCTTGAGAGCCACATGTCGTTTCTGAACCCTCCGGCTCTCACCACACTCTGCCAGTGTTCTCCAGTGCTGTGCCCTGGACCCTTCCTGACGTAACTCCACAGGGCTGCCTCTCTAGTTCTAGTCTAGCGTTCTTTGCTCATCCCCCTAATCCTACTTGTCATCTTACCACCCTTGGCCTTAACCTCATGGAGGCTTTGTGCCCACAGGTCCCAAAATGACTTGTGCTGCGTCTTGTCATTGGTCAGGGAGATAAGGACAGACGCATTGTCCACTGGCCCTGCCTTCAGATTATGGAAAGGACTGTAGGTTGTGGATTTGGGGGTGATGCAGATAACTCTGGTCAGGAGGGACTCAGGGTACAGCCTCTGAGACATAGTATCCCAGGGGAGAGGCCTGGACCAAGGATCTGCCAGGAGGCCCTGGGGGAGCTGAGGATATCACTCTGCATGATAAACCTTTCTTGGATGGGAGATGGGCTCTTATGGCTCAGAAGACGGGGTTCCACTAGGAGGGGCTGGGACCTGACTCGGGAAAAGGAATGGCTTACGGTGTGGCTCTTTGTCTTCTCACCTGATGCTCCTGCAGTCATGTAGCTCAGGGCTTCTGTCTTGGAGGGGCTGGCACAGGGTGGGGCAGGGCATCCCTGAACCCAGGAAGAGTGCTGTGCAGAGAACTCTACATCTGTCCCCTGCTCACCAGGACTTGGAGGCTGGAGACTTAGAAGGGAGCCATCATGGGGGTTTCAGTGCCACAGCATGCTCCTTCAGTCTAGAGACTGGCCTTCCAGTCAGAGGCAGAGCGATTCCTGCCTGAGAGCTTCCTCCTGGCTGTCCTTCCCGGGTCTGGGCTAGGGAGATAGATGCTGTACCTGGGTACTCTTAGGACAGCATCTCCAGTCACCACAATGCTTGGGGCTCGTGGGAAGAGCTGCCTGCTTCCAGCCCGGAGTGAGGTTCCTCCTGTGAGTCTGGAGACCCTGCCTTCCTACCACTCACCCCGGCCCCATCTGCCCGCAGGCCGCACCCTGAATACAAACGTAGAGTCTCTGAAGATCTTCAAGGAGTTTATGAGGAGCAAAATGGGGCAAACGGCCAAGACGAAGAAGCCTCCCCATGCTGGTAATGAAAAGGGCTGTCCCTTACTCCCACCCCAAGCTTTGCAAGTTCTCTGGAAGGTGGCCACTGGCCACTGCCTTTCTAGTCCTCATCTCTTTCTGCTCTACAGAAGCCTGTGAGTTACCCAGAGACTCCTAGGGCAGAAGGAGCGCTGCAGGATCAGGAGTTGGGGGTCCTCACTGCTCTCTCCACCTTGGCCAGAACAGTGTCAAGAAAGGAAAAGGCAGGGCCCAGAGTCTACACCTCTTCCCCAGGCCTCTGCTTTAAATAAAGCTGGTCAATGTCCTCTGGCCACAACATCTGATGGGCTCAGGCTTAATTTTTAATTTAATCTTTTTGTTTATATACATTTTCATGTGTGTGGATGCACTCCTGTATGTGGGTGCATGTGCGATTTGTGTGTGTATGCACATGTAGAGGCCAGAGGTGAACTTTAGGTGTTGTTTTACAGGTGCTGTCCACTTTAAAAATGACTTATTTTAGTTTTAGTTATCTGTATTTATGTGTCTGTATGAATTCATGCTACATGTACATGGGCTCCTACAGAGGCCAGAAGAGAACGTCAGATCCCCTGGAGCTGGATTCCAGACAGTTGTTGAAAAGTTTCTGCAGCAATCCAAATCAGAGCAAATCAAACTAAATTAGAAAAAGCCCACGTTTAATGGATACAACGCTCCCGTTTGGCCTTCTAGTCCCCCAGAGAAGAGACGGGAAAGAGATACTGGAAAATCACACATCTATTTTCTGGGGAGGGGGCATTTAAATACTCTGTGGGAGTAGTATTGAGCATCTCTGGGGGAGAGGTCATCATTTGTCAGGTTTTCTAAAATCCATCAGGGTTTGGAGGGAGATAGGGGAAGGGGGCTTGGGTGGCTTGGGTGGGATTTCCACCATAACATCCCAGACTCTTTGGGTGTGTGGCTGCCAGGGGCTGGGGCAAAGCTTCCACCATAATAGTTGTAAACTGCCAGATATGGGTGCTGGGTACCAAACTGGGTTTCTCTAGAAGAGCAGAGTTGAGCCATCTCTTCAGTCCCGACTTTGATTTTTGATACAGGGTCTCTCATTGTCTTGGAGCTCATCAATCTGACTAAGATTTCTGAGTAGCATGCCTCAGGGACCCTTCATCTCTGCCATTCTAGCATTTGGACTAGGAGTGCCTGCTACCGTGCCTGGATGTTTAGGCAGATTCTGGGTGTGGAGTCCAGGCCCCTATGCTTGTGAAAAAGCACCTTACTGGGACATTTATTTATTTGTTTATTTATTTATTTGGTTTTTCGAGACAGGGTTTCTCTGTGGTTTTGGAGGCTGTCCTGGAACTCACTTTGTAGACTAGGCTGGCCTCGAACTCACAGAGATCCGCCTGCCTCTGCCTCCCGAGTGCTGGGATTAAAGGCATGCGCCACCAACGCCCGGCTCTTACTGGGACATTTATTCAGCCTCCCTGGCTTCACTTTTTAAAGAGTAGACAGACGCTCAGTTGTGAACATGATCACTAGAAAGGAAGGACTTTCCTTTACACCTTCAGGTCCTCACACAGGTGGCAGCCACAGCACACAAGGCCACAGGGCTCAGCAGCGGGCAGCCTGGGAGCTCCGGATGGGGCTAGAGCCCTCATGGTGGCTAGGGAGGGAAGCAAAGGGTGACCGGTGTCGTAGGGAGGTACGTGTAGGTGGCTAGGATGAGTTTCTGCAGAGCTTGGGCTCTTGGGATGTCCTTAGTGGACTGACACCTGGTGATGGCTGGTGGCTCAGATAGGAGGCCATGGAGGAGGGTGGGTGGTGCCTCTGTGTGCACATGAAGGCAGGCGCGTGGAGTAGTTCTCTAAGAATTAGTCAACTTTGGAGGATGTGGCCATCTGGACACAGGTTACCAAAAGACCAGAATTACCAAACTGTAAAAGTGAATAGTTAAGTGAACACAAACACATATAAGCATATATAGAACTCTGAAAGTGGAAGAAATAGGAAAACATAAACCAAAACCAAACAAACGAAAATATGAGGCCAACCATGGCTGGGTGAGACGCCAGGGGAAGAGGTGTGTACGGAGCCCATTCGCCGCAGAGAAGTCCCCATAAAGGGTGTCCAGCGTTCCGTACACCGCAAGAAGGGACTCTGTCCAGCCCGGGCTTGGCAAACGTGGTTCCAGAAGGTCTCACCCTTTTCCCATTCCCACTGCCTCGATAAAAAACACTAGATTACATTCCTAAAGCTTGCCATCAAGGCCACTTCCTCCTCCTGAGGCTGACTACCAAGGTCCAGCTATCAAAGTATTGAAGTCCAGCAATCAAAACCCCCCTTTGACTTACCTAATTGACATGTTCAATAAAATTAAACGCCTCAAAAAAAAATAAAATTAAACATCTCATCTTACGCACAGTATTTATAAACTGTTATTTGCCTATGGGCCATGTCTGTCTCCCTTCTGTCCAGAAGCAGTCCTTTGCCCTCCAGGACAGATCCCCTTCTCCCTCGTCCCCTTCCCCTTCTCTCTCATCCTCTATCTCCTGTCTTTGTCTCTTATTCGCTGCCTCTGCCCCTCTGGAGCAAATAAATCTCTTTACGCTGAGAACTTGGTCTTGGGGGTCCTGAGCGGATCCTTTGCCCTCACTGAAGCCTTTTTCTGGGCACGGCTATTTGCTTCATAGTAAATTCAGCTGCTCCTGACCACCTTACAGGTTGGTTTGTTTTTTTCCTCTTGTCTCCTTTCCTTTCCTTAATTTTGTCCCTTTGTGGTGGTCCATAGCCCTTAACAGCTATCCCATAAGAATATGATCAGGCCATAGTCTAGCCTGTTTACAGACTAGGAGTCCTTTCTAACTAAAACAACTAAAACCAGTGAGCGGGGCTTGAGATGGCCACACACGATTCCTATGTAGTCCAGGCTGACACTGGATTCTGGTCCTCTTGCCTCTACATTCCAAATGCCGAGATTGCAGGCATGCACCACCATGCCTGGCCTGTAACTTCTATTTGGCCCCAAATATCTCAAGATCAAAGAGTAAACAAAGACAAAGATGGGAATCATTGTACAAAAAAACCTCATCCCATAACATGTCCTCACTAAGACCCCAGAATCAACGTGTATGTCACACAGTCTTTGAGCAGAACCATAACATGAGTTTTTAAGGTAACACTTCTGATTTGTGGGTTCTGAGCACAGTTTCTAGGTTTAGTTTGTTGATAATTGAAGGCTGCTTTAGTGAAAACACAGTCTCTTCTCTGAAACCTGCAGATATCTGGTGGGAACTAACATAGGATAAAAAACAAAACAAGGCCGGGCGTTGGTGGCGCACACCTTTAATCCCAGCACTCGGGAGGCAGAGGCAGACAGATCTCTGTGAGTTCGAGGCCAGGCTGGACCGATAGCCTCCAAAACAATACAGAGAAACCCTGTCTCGAAAAACCAAAAAAAAAAAATACCAAAAAAAACCAACAAAAAACAAAACAAAACAAAACAAAACAAAAAACCCTTTGCACTGGGTCTTTCACATCTACTGTCTTAACCTTTGGGTCCTGTTTTCGGACACACTGACTGTTAAAAGCGATGTCTTGGGGTTGGAGAGATGGGTCCGTGACCGCACAAGCATGAGAACCTGAGTTTGGATCCCCAAACCCACTTAAAACCCTGGACATGGTGTGTGCATCTATTGCCCTAGCACTTGGTGTGGAGGCAACTGATGAGAGCTCACTAACCAGTCAGTCTAATTAAGGGTGTAATAGGTGAGATCCGGGTTCAGTGGGAGACCTTGTCTCAAAAACTAAGGTAGTGAGTGACTGGGGAAGATACCTGACGTGGGCTTCTGGCTTTCACATATGCACACCACCACCACCACCACCCCCACCACTCCCGCCATCACCACCACCACCAGCCCCCCCAACACCACCCCCACCATCACCCCCACCCCCACCCCCACCACCCCCATCCCCACCATCCCCACCACCATCACCACCACCACCACCACCATCATCACCACCACCATCACCACCACCACCATCACCACCACCACCACCACCACCATCACCACCACCATCACCATCACCTCCACCACCACCACCACCACCACCATCACCACCACCATCACCATCACCTCCACCACCACCACCACCACCACCATCACCACCACCATCACCACGAACACCACCACCACCCAACACCACCACCACCACCCAACACCACCACCACCACCACCACCATCACCACCATCACCACGAACACCACCACCACCACCACCCAACACCACCACCACCATCACCACCACCACCACCATCACCACTACCACCACCACCATCACCACCATCACCACCACCACCATCACCACCACCACCATCACCACCACCACCATCACCACCACCACCATCACCTCCACCACCACCATCACCATCACCACCACCATCACCACCATCACCACCATCACCACCACCACCACCACCACCACCACCACCATCACCACCATCACCACCACCACCATCACCATCACCACCACCATCACCATCACCACCACCACCACCACCATCACCATCACCACCACCATCACCACCACCACCATCACCACCATCACCATCACCACCATCACCATCACCACCCCCGCCACCACCCCAACAACACCACTGTCACCCCTCCTCTACCATCTACCTCTTCCTCCAAACCTAAACCAGAACTTAGAGGCTCTGGCCCATAATCACAGTACGGGGGAGGTGGAGATAGGTGGATCCCTGGGACTTGCTGGACAGCCAGTCTAGTCCAGTTGGTGAGTTCCAGGTTCACTGAGAAACCCTGTCTTAAAAAATAAGGTGGGGAGTAACTGAGGAAAACACCCGATGTTGACCTCTGGTTTCCAAATGCACTCACACACATGTATGAACACACACACACACACACACACACACACACACACACACACACACACAGAGTGATGTTATACTCAAGACAAAATTCTGTGAGACTAGCTGTTGCCTCTTAGATGTGTTATCTGTTTCTTCTGCCCCATCCTTGGTTTTGTTTCAGCAGTTCAAGCACTCATGCCTTTAGCTTGACTTTAGGATTCAAACCCAAGTCCAAGATGCAAACGATGATCACAGTGTCAGGAGGGGCTCAGCAGTTCCTAGGCTGAGCTGACCAGCGTGAGCCTGAAGACCTCGGGCAAGGATGTCTGCACACAAAAAGAAGGACATTCTTTGAAACCATGGCCTGAGCAGTAGGCAATTAACCAATGGGAGCTTCCTCTGTTGAGTGGGGTAGCCTGATTACCTCTTTGGGTCTTGCCGCTCCTTTCTGTCTCTGGGCTAAAGTTGCA